AGTATGGACTGCATGCCAGGCCAGGGTCCCAGCGTATTTTAGAGATGGGATTTGAGCCCAGGCCGGCCAGTTCAAACCCATGCTCTCCACCACTAGCTCACATGTGTTTCATTTGCTTCAAACGCTCCTCCCTGTTAAGTCCTATTTATCCCTTATCTGGGTTCTGGGATGCCTTCCTGCCTTCTCCTCCACATCTAGGTTGAGACGCCCTCCTACCTGCTCCCCTGATGCCTTGCACTAAAGCCCCGATCACAGCTCATGGCTCATGACTGCAATGAGCTTGCACCTGGCTTTCCTTGTGGACTGTAATTCCATGAGAGCAGGTTTAGGTTACATCTAAGCACATTGTGGCACACAATTTATGTGTCTAAATGCACACATGTGTGAATTGATACAAATGTCCATGGCTTTGTCCCACAAGAGCTTCTAATCTGGGGGAGTTGGGGAGACAGACCTGGGATGGTTAACTTCATGTGTCAACTCGGCTGGGTCATGGGGTGTCCAGATACGTGGTTAAGCATTATTTCTGGGTGTGTCTGTGGGGGTGTTTCAGGATGAGATTAGCATTTGGACTGGTGGACTCAATACAGCAGATCCCTCCCAGGTGTGGATGGGCACCACTCAATCCACTGAGGTCCTGAATAGAACAAAAGGGCTGAGGAAGGCTGAACTCTCTATCTCTGCCTGACTGTTTGAGCTGAGACATTGATCTTCTACCCTTGGACTGGGAGTTGCACCGTCAGTGGTTCTCAAGCCTTTGGACTCAGATTAAAAATACACACTGCCATCTTTCCTGGGTCTCCAACTTGCAGATGACAGACTGTGGGACTTCATAGCCTCCATCATCATGTGAGCCAGTTCCTCATAATAAGTCTCCTGTTGTTACTGTTTCTCTGGAGTCCCCTATGCCATGACCATTATACCTATTAGACAGGCTACAGGGACTGCAGTCAAGTTTATAAACTGGGGTCTGTCCTCACATGGGGCAGGACTGGTGGCCTCTGCCTGGGTTGCATGGAAAGGATGCAATGGTGCTTAATTAGGGATGAGCAGTATTTCAACCAGACAAGAAAGGAGAAGGAATGTGAATAAAGAAATCATATAGCACTTTGGAGAATGGTGAAGAATAGTTCGATTCAACCACATAAATATCCCATCCAACTCCTGCAACAGACCAGGCACTGTCTGGGTGTAATGAGTTAAATAAACCAGTAGAAGTCTCTTCCCTCAAGAACTCCCCAGTCCAGCAAGGGAGGGAGACACAGAAACAGATCATTATGGGATTTGGTAACCACGACTGCCTGACCATGAATTGGCTACATGAATGTCAAGGCACTGAGCCACTAAGTAAGACCTGGCCGGGGCCTATGACCAAGAGAAGTCCTTGTCCAGGTGACCTACAAGTTCTTCTATTTTCTGCACATGCCATGAGTGGGAGAAATAGTCAGGAAGCCCTCACAAGACATAGCTGCCAGAGGTTGCTCTGGGAGCAGAGGATCAAGGCAGGCTTTCAGGAAGAGGTGATTCCTATTTGGTCCTGGATGGTAAAATAAGAGTTTGCCAGAGAGACAGGTGGAAGAGACATTAGCCAGAGAGAACAGTTGAAAATGATGCTGATGGGGACAGCTAACATTCACTGAGAAGTTTTAAAGGGCCAGCCCTGGATCTAAGGACTCCTCAAGTTATCTCATGGAATCCTTCCAGCCCTCTGAGAAAGGGGGGTCATTTTACAGATGCATAAATCAAGGCACAGAAAGCTCATGTAACCTTTTCAAAGTCACAGAGCTTTTGAACAATGATGCACACTTGTCCTACAGTTCTGAAGTAGAAAACTACGCTGCCTCCTTTTAGAAAACCTCCATAGGAATAAAACAAAGGCGAGAGGAAAACCACGGGGAAGAGTGATCAACACAAGTGGTTCGGTTTCCCCCGGCACAGAGTGCTGGGCAGTAGGTGGTAGGAAGGGCCAAAGGGGGACACAGCACTCAGCTCAGGACAGGAGGGCCATACGGCCAGTTGGCATGGAGTCTGTGCCCAGATGGCTGTCCTTGAAGTTTGGAAACTAGGCAGGGAGGACCATATGATGCATCTGCAGAGGTCAGTAAGGACCAGGCTGCCCCATTTTAGGAGTTTGGCAGGGGTTATCACCTAGGGAGCCTCTGAAGACTTGTGAGCAGGGAATGGTCAGCTCCATCCTGCCTTTCAGAAAGATAGCCACAGAGCAATGTCAAGAATCAATGGGAGATGTGAGAATTTGGAAAGGTGTTTGAAAGATCTTTCTGCAATCTAGCATGATGGGGGCTGTGGGGGGCTCACAGGCATGCCATGGTCCATGTTCTAGAAGGTCACAGGTGTTCTGATTATTCCGGTGCTTTGATTTGTGTATTTCTTTTCTGAAGATTTGTACCATCCCATGGAAGGGGTCCCCAAAACACACTCCCCCTAACACATTCCTCTAGCCTGCCTCTTTTCACTGTTCTTATTCTCCCTGAATCCTCCTCAATATTTTCTCAGCGACTTCAAATGCATCCCCTTTGCCTAATGCAGAGCAGTTACTGACCGTGTGCAGCTGCCTGTGTGTTGCCCTCTACCTTGAGGAGTTTCTTGGGGCATTTCTGCTCTACAAATACAAGATTGGTTTCCTTGGGAGGAGTTCGAGAGAAGTCAACATTCTCCGTCTTATTGCATAAGCAAAGATGAGTGTCCCCAGCTACTTCTCTCATCCTCTACCTCACACAGGAGAATCTCCGTATTCTGCATGTGGATCTGCAAACTAAGGAGATACACATGCACTTGGCACTCTGCTTTGTAGTGTTAATTTCATTTCTTAAATTAACTACTCAAACAGATCTTAAGATGATGGAAGGCACAGACCGCCAGTCCTTTTCATTTATTTTGTACCATTCTTATCACCAAAGAAGTGCCCCAAGTCAAATTTAGTGACAACAGATTACACATATAAAGGAAAGAAGGGAATTTCTTTCTGTCAGACAAGACTTCTGCAGGAGAAAAACTGGTTTTAAAAATGTGATGTTGTAAATGTATACATGCAGTCCCCCAAACCCCAGCTGACACCTACTAAATTAATTGTGGTTCAGAGATGTCTGTTTGGGTCTGATAAACAAATGAGGCAGGCCAGCAGCCACTGTCTCTTTTCCCACAAAGATTTCTATCTGCAGGGGAATAAAGGCTTGCTCACTCGTGCAGGGCTGGGGTTGGGAAAGGCGGTGGGATGTGTGCTTCCCATATCCAGCACCAGCTCAGCCCTAAATTCCGAGCCTTTTATTTTGAGACTGAGGCTGCAGCCAGCTACTGTATCCATGACAACAACACACTTCAGTCCCCAGGTGGACCAAGAAGCAGCAGCATGGGAAAAGAGGCATTTCCCAGATTCTTCCTGGAACGAATATGTGTTTGGAGCAGGAGGACCCAGGAATACTCTGGAGACAGACAATACCTACAACAAGGAAATCATGTCGTTTGCTGGGCCCGAAGCTCCATCGTCAAGTGGTTTGTGGACAACCGACAACCATGCTGGTCCCAAGAAACAGCAGGAGCTCCTGTTTGTGAGCCCACGTGAGGCCTCAAAAAAGACCCAAGACACATCGGGGTGGCTCTGAGTCAATGAATCTGCCCCCAGGGCAGATGGGTGCCTGACTTGGGGGAGACCAAAAAGTGGGCCACAGAACCAGAGTGGGAATTCATCTGCTTGCATTTAATCCGAATGCTCTAGTCATCTGCTTAGAGAAGTCAGCTCATGTAACTCTGGGAACCAAATCCCTACAGAAGTGAATCTGACCAAATTAAGGAATTTTATTTCTTCACTCTCAGTAGAATGACAAAAGCAACACATGGCAATTCTTCCATTATTTATTTCATGAACACACTCATTAAACCAAGCTGCAGGATTCTCAGTTGTGCACAAGTACCCAGGACACATTCAGTGCCATACACAAGGACGTAGCACCTTTGATTAGAGGTATGTTCAATGCATTATTGTGAACGACACTAAAAATATGATTTTTCATAAGCAAAATACTCAGAGCAACCTGCAAAAACATCCACCAGATGAACTGGGTTGAAAACATTTAATGGTTCCCTCTCTACAGCAGGTTTTCTGTCTTTAGTGTCAATGGGAGGATTTCTTCTGCAGCTGATACCAATGTGCTCACAGGCCTATTTCTGAAGCTAACAGAAACAGTCAATGGAAATAGGAATTTAAGGACAAATTCATTCAAAGGGCATCATCAAATAGGTTATGCTAAGTATGCCTTCTGGAACATTTTAAATTTAATTTACTGGTTTTATTCAAATTTCCTATTTGAATTGAGAGTAAGAGGTTGAGGCTGTTGTTCCTGCACAATCTTATGTACAGCCAAAGACTTTATTTTTTCCAGTCAGTGTGGAGATGACATTACCCTCTTCTGGTTTCAGAAAAGGCAGACATTTTAGTTGCTATGGCAAAGTGAAAGTGGCATTCTCTCACTAATAGAGAAATTTTGAATATTTCATTCATTGATGATTTTTGTCATGTAAATTTTGCCCATCCACTGTCAGCATCTGAAACCATGGATCGATTGGCCTGATAAAAAAAAATTCCCTTTTAGGTCATTATTGGAGCGTAAGTAAAAAGACATCTTTATTTGGGTTAATTCCCTGTAAACATTGTGAATGTTGTGAGTACTCATTTTCACTACTGCACAGACAAAAGGAAAATAAATTTTTTTAAGTTCATGCTTTTGTAGTTTTTCTAATTAGATCTTTTAGTAGCTTCCATCTAAAATTTCCTCCTTCAGCCACTGAGCTTATAGCATATTCAAAGCTGAAAAACTAATTATGGGCATTTAAATTGCCTTGCATACGTATATCCTGCTCAAATGCCACCACTCCCAGAGAAAGCTGGAACTATGAGTGTTCAGTAAGATAATCTCTCCAATTCTATACTGCTGCCTTCACCACCCATAATATTTATTTATTTATTTACTTATTTATTTTTAGTTGGAGTCTCAGTCTGCCACCCAGGCTGGAGTGCAGTGGTGCAATCTCGGTTCACTGCAACCTCTGCCTCCCAGGTTGAAGCAATTCTTGTGCCTCAGACTTCTGAGAAGCTAGGATTGCAGGAGTGCACCACGACCACCCAGCTAATTTTTCTATTTTTAGTAGAGACGTGGTTTCGCCATGTTGGCCAGGCTGGTCTCAAACTCCTGACCTCAAGTGATCTGCCCGCCATCATAATATCTGAATAAGCATATTGACTTCTTCTTAAACTAAGGGTTAAATATAATCTTTTATTTTAATAGTTTAGGTTCATGTATCTCATATCTTATGTTCACATTAATGATTCCTATTTGCTATACATTTATGGAAAAAACCTTATAAATGGTTTAATAATAAATAGATATTTCTTGGAATCTAATCTTGGAAAATTTTCCCAAATACAGCAAAAAGATTCATGCACAAAGATGCTCATCCCAATGATCAATTGGAAATAGCCTTCGATGAGCAAAATTATGGAAATCACTAGAGGCTGCATACTATGCAATTATTGATATAAGTTTAAGAAGGCTATGAATATACTAAAAACATCTTTGATAAAATATTAAGTGAAAAAGTTTACATAAAAGTATATATGTGGTATAATGACATTCTGTGAAATTTTAAAAGAGAATTGACACATGCACAGAAAAACATAGACTTGAAAAAACATCCAGAAATTGTTAGCAGTGATTACCTTTAGGCAGTGGGGGACAATTTATGTTCTTTCTACATCTCTATGTGGTCTAAATTTTCTATAATAGCAGCTATTATTCTAGTGGAAAAATAACAAACAAGAGGAGAAAGGGGAGTATGCAATGAGAACCAAGTCAAGAGTGTCTTTTAAGGTTGCATTTTGGGAGACTTTTTACGTATTTAGGAATAGGGATGGTTCTTCAATAGGAGCCCGATGAGTCCAAGAGAGCAATAGACTGCCTCATCACCTCCTCTGACAGGTAAGAAGCATCCTGAGAAATGAAAACGCGTCTCCTGAAGAGAGTAATGTCCTCTTGCTATAGCATGTTTTAGAATCTGGCCTAATTTGGGAGACCTTTAACAATATGCCAACTAACTAGTCACATAATACAAAAACGGGGAAAAGTAGAGAATCCATTGGAAATAAACAAAACAATTCAGGAGTGAAGCGTGACCAGGTTCTTATTCATAGAGAGATGTTCTCTTATAATACGCATTCATCACAAATAAGATTGAAGGATAAAGGAGGTGGGAAGAACAAACTTAAGCTATCAACCTCCAGTCCCAGACATTGAGACACAGAGAGAAACAGGCACCATTCTGCACAAACTCATAAGGGAAATGTTCTTCCTTTATATCCGTCTTCCCATGTGAAACAAATCACACACTTTATTCTCAAGGTTTCACCACACTAGGGTGATTAAAAATCATCCACCATGTACCCAGGGGCCTGAAAATTTCTCATTTAGTAGTCGATAGCAAAATTGTTCATCAGCATTCTTTAATATGATCTGTGAAAACAAAGAAAGAACACTATGTTAAGAATAGATTTCCCACTTCCATTCTCAGGCAGGATATGGTTTGCTTCAAAATATACTGGGAATATACTGGGAATAAGTCCAAATATACCACCAAAGTTGAGAGGTTTTTTTGTTTGTTTTCGTTTTTGTTTTTGTTTTGTTTTGTTTTGTTTTGTTTTTGGTGTAGAAGCAGCTCTGAGAATGTTTTTTCTCTTAAAGATGTGTGTTCTGACCAGTTTGTCAGTGTGAGATGCGTGACTAAGATTGAATGATAAAAGCTCAACTCATTCAATCTAGGTTAAAACCCACAACATTTCTGAGCATTTTATTTCCTCAGTGGTTTCTGCATAAATTTTAAAAAAAGAATTAAAAACTAAAGTAACTTATAAAAACGTGGGTTTCTGATTCCCCAAAAACAACCTACCTTCTTTTAATGAACTAGAATGTAAGGGTAGCAAATGCAGAATCAACAGATTATTATGCAGGAAATGAACAATTTCCAGGGACCTTCCTTAAGGTAAGGTTGATTCCCATCGTCCTCAGGGAGGATGCCCAATCCTTAAGTATAAAGATAGGAGAAAACAAATGGCTTGCACTTACCCTGGATTCTTATTTCCTTTCAATTTTGGTGTAGGAGAAGGGGAAAAAAAATAGGCAATTATCTGTTTATTTCATCCCAAGTTCCTGGATCAAAGGCTGATTCAGGGATGGAGATGGAGAATCAGTGAAGACTTGCCCCCAGGGTCAGCTCCCCACCTACCTCAGTGGTTGCCAGCTCACTCCCACAAGAGGCTGATACTCTCTTCACTACCCCAGGGAAAGATTATCCTCACACTTCTAGAGAAAGAAGCCTAAGAAGGCACAGGCAAAGTATACCTAGCTGGTTGTCTATAAATATTTTCAGTGACATTCTTAAAGATATAACAAACACACCATTCAAAAGAAGATCTTATATCTAGAAGTAAAAAGCATACAAAAAATTGGACATGCCAAATTTGTTGTCTCTAAGGCCACCAGTGGTTCTGAATTCTGGGGGCACGTGTTTTCTCATGGGCTCTTTTGCTTCTCTTTTTTTCTTTGTAGTGCAAATATCTATACCCACACACGTGCACGCGCGCGCACGCACACACACACACACACACACACAAGTAATGACCTTCTCTTAGTTCCTTTTCATTCATCAATTACTTACTTCTCAATATGTTAATAAAAGTTTAAGGTTAAACAAAGGGCAAGTTGATAGAAAATCTGTCTGTCTGCCCGTTTTACTCAAAGTCAGCACACCTGAGAAAGAATGAAGACGAGAAGTTTGGAGATTTAAGAGGGGGATGTTCGTGTTTGAATCTGACTGTCTTTTGATTATTACAACTCTTAATCACTTTTAGATTTGTACCATTTTAGTTGTTTTATCTGTTGGCGATTTTTTTTTCTATATTTCAACTGATAAATTAAACAAAATGGCATGTGTTTAAAAATCTAAATTGTAATTTATTATAAGGTTTAATAGTGTTTTCATTAAACACTATTATGAAAGAGTTGAAATAAGTTCTTTAATATGGAAGGCTTATTTTCTTGAGCACAGCAGGAAGCTGTACCTCCCTTTCAGATTACATTGAATGTGTACCAGTCTTTCCCTAACAAAGCCCTTTAAAATACAGTGCTTTTTATATGAGCTATCACTGTCAGAACCCAAGGAAAAGTACTCTGAGACCAGAAAGACTGAAAGAAACCTGATGCAACATGATTTCCCCCACAGCACAATCACCCCATGAATAGAAATTCTGCAGCTTAAGTACTTAATGCATGGATAGTGGTCAGTGTATGAGGTCAGTGCCAGGGCCAGCACAGTTCAGAGCATGGAGCAGGCACTCAATAAATACTGATGGAAGGAAGGGAAGAGAGAAAAGAGAAGAGAGAATTCTTACTTGTGTTTCCATTCCTTGCCATTTGCTTTCTCAAAAAAAAAAAAAAAAAAAAAAAAAAAAAAAAAAAAAAGTCTAATCCAATGGAATGCCTACGGCTGTTCTTTCCTAACTCAACATGTCCCTAAAAACATTTTTAACATTTGGTTTGAAGATTTGGGCAAGTAATGAGAAAACATAACAAAAGCAAATGGTAAGGCCAGGGAACAAAGTCTTGGGTTACATTTTGCTAGTTAATTGAATTACATTTTTATTGTGCAAAAGAGCTGTTGTTAAAAACCTGAAATGCCACACCAAAACATTTTTTGTTAGTAAAAAGATGATTAACATATTTGTATATCCATAGTAATAAATATAATATTATGAGAATAAGACATTTTGGGGTGCTGATCTGTGAACACATCCATGATACAGAATTAAGGAAGATTTAAAAATGGCAGATCTTGGAACAGTGTGACCTTGTTTCAATTTATGTCAAAATAGCTGCATAGGCTGCAAGTGTTTTAAAAGGTCTTACAGGACAGGATACTTATACCCTGCCCCTAGCAATGCTAACCCCCGGTGTGGGGGTAAAATGAGGAGGAACTTCTACTTGTTTCTTTCTCTAATTCTGTATTGCTTTTTTTTTTTCCACAATACATTATTTTCAAATTTGGTAATATATGGAAATAAAATAACTGAGAAAAAAAATCATGATTTTAAATTAGTCTTAAAAGATGCACATTTTCAGAGCAAAGTAAAAAGCCATTAGAATGACTCACCTTGCTATAATTAGATTTTTCTCCATTAGAGTTCATACAGTTTTATTTGATTTTATTAGCAATCTCTTTCAGAAGACCCTTGAGATCGTTAAGCTTGGAAAGAGAAAAAAAAATAGAACTGGTCTTAAGATACATTTTCCAACTTTCATTTTTAAATTAGCGCTCCATGCCTTTTCTAAGAAACAGGCATGTCTACTAAACAAGAAGTATGGTACATCTGAATAAGGCAGAATGAGAGCGGCATGTGCTATTTCAGATCCTGAGCAATGCTTACTTTCTGAAATCATATCACCAGCAATTAGTAACCAACTAGTAAACCAATTAATATTATCTTTACTCAAATGTAAATCATTAGTGGCTCCCAAACAGAGAAAATAGATTGCAATAGTACAAACCAGTAATATGTAAAAATAATAATGTTCTATGTAACTAATGTTAATAAAATTACAAGATACTAATTAAGTTTTGCTTTGGTAAAAGTATAATACTAATAAAAATGTGATACTAATAAATGAAATTTTTGAAATTAAAAGATATCCCTACACACACAAAAACAGCACACAATTTAAGTAAAAGGCATAATGAAAGTATTCTTGATCCATGCACATTTCACAAATTTATTACACAAGATACATGAAACTCATTTTAAATTACATGTCATATTAGCACATTTGATAAAAGCAATTTCTGTACAGTTTGGTTTCTAATTTGCTGCATCACTCACTCAAGAAAAAAAAATTCTGAATTTAAGTTGAGCTTAATTCCAGTAGTAACCTTTTTCTTTTAACTTTTTTAAAATAAAAGAACAAAATGAAACTATAGGTGTTAAGGGCTTTCTAAAATAAA